TTCTTTCTTCCGCCCCCTTTTTTGCCGTGTTGGGGTCATATCCAGGTCCTTTCATTTTTTTGGTGGGGGTCAGTCTATCATCAAATCGCTGTTGGATATTGATTGTTCTGTTTTGTTTTTTTCTGCGTCTATCTGTGCTTGTCGACCTGTGTGCTCTGCGAAGAAAACCGTGTGAGCCGCGTCTCGAGTTTGTTGAGCGGGCCTGCGGTGTGCGAACTAAACGATGCCTACAGATTTTGACGGCCCCATGATGACTGACATCCATCACGGCAGCACCGTGCAGCAGGTTATATCTACCAAAAAAAGAATACTGCTGTATGTAGTTCACAAAATCTACAGCAACAATTGCTTGCAGCAGCAGAAACGCACAACAACAGCAGCACCACACGCGGATAGACACACACACAGAGAGAGACGAGCACTCCTCTAAGTACGGGGCGTTGTGTGTCGTCGTGTCCTCCTGTTCCTCTGAGGCCTAGCGTCTCCTGGGCATCCCGGGTGCGAAGGGTGGCCTTGGCGTGAAATATGTGCCAGTATGGCAGTATGGACTGTTGAGGCTGTTGCTGCAGACGAGAGCTCTGCTTCCGAAGACAACGGGCGTTAGATCCAGGCTCCGAGATAATATTGAATTTGAGAGGGAGAGAGGAGAACCTCTTCGGGGACACTCCGGGCGGTTTCCCGGGGTTTCGATCCGTCCGGATGTTTGGACTGTGGTTCTCTTTTATAATCCATGGATTGCAAATATTCGCGCCCCAGCCCTGCTGCCACTCCTCCTTTCCGAGCACGACAGCGCCCTGGGTACGGGCGTTGCCTCACCGTCTGAAGTTAATACACTACACAAACAATACCCGATAAGTACGCGGAGTACGGCCGACAAACATAGAGCACCGATTTACGATGTGCTGGGTTGTGAGGAGGAATCTATTTAGGGCACTCTCCGTCACACCGGTTTCATTGCGCTCTTACAACAGATGGCCCTGCTTGATACGCATGTGGACCAATATCATCGAAACGTCCCCGGGAGTTCGACGAGAGGTAAAGGAGCACAAAAACGGAGATCTCCTACACACAGCAGCAGTTATGTATGCAGAGTTGCTCGATTTCCAACCCGGGGGGCACAGAGAGGAAGCACTGAGTAAGGTAATTACGCGACACCGCTGGGGGGGCAACACCGCATTGGCGAGGGAAGGGGGTCACAAACACAGCTCGTGGCGGATATCATCGCCACTGCTGTTGCTTTGGCGTTTGGGGAGAGAGATCATCGGAAAACGAAACCTTTGCACCTGGGGCAAACAATCCACACGAACCAACTCTGATGATCCCAGCAGAGACAGACTCGGCAGGCTGTGCCAAACGCTCGCGTTCCTGAGCGTAATACAGCTTCCTCGTCGGTGTTAATCTTCACACAAGACGGAACATGGACACAGCTCGTGGCGGATACCTTTGTTATCCCTGTTACTTTCGTGTGTCAGGAGGGGGGTCGCCCGGAAACAAAACTGCTGCTGTCCAAGGGGCAAAAAAGAATTATTTCTTAAGAAAGCCTTTTTGGTGCCCAGCGTCATCCGTGGCGTTTTACCCGCATGCACTGTCGAATAGAAGTAAGTAGGAGAGAGTCATTGCCATTTTACAGCAAAGCAGCAGCACTACAAGTGCATTTGTGTAAGCTATGCAATACCTATGTTCATTTGTGCCTGTGTCAGTGCTGCTGTTAGGTGCCGATCGTTGGAGGTCCCAGCTCGAAGGTACTGCTGGTGTGTTGCGAGGCGAGCATGTTCCTCCGCTGTTGATTCATTTGGAGTATGCATACAATATTTTCAACAAACTTCCAGCGGGGAAAGCGGATACAAGTCGTGAAAGATCCGTTAGAATATTTTACTACTCCGCAAAGGAAGTACCTGAAGTGCGCGTGCTGGGTTGCTGCGTTGTTGCTGCCTGGAACGCAGAGTGTCTCGCACCTTGCACAGCATCGCAGATAGACTACTGCAAGGTATTAAGTCGTCACCCGCGGCTCATTACTCCCCCCTATCTAGTACAGAGCCTGGACCCTTTATAGTGGGGTCACCCCACTATAGAGAGAGGGGGGCTACCGCACTCTAGCGGGTTTGTAAGTTAGGTACTGTCGCTTTTCACTCACAAACAAACTTGAACAAACACACCTTCCTCGCAACAAACGCCGCAGGAAGAGTAGACCAGAGAGGAGCTGCCAAGGAATAGTGGTGTTTTGGTGAAACTGGTGGCAAATGTAAGGAGGATCATGCAAAGATGATGAACGCAGTCCGAAACCAACACATGTGCAAAGAAAGTAGCAGCCTTGGGTAAACACGTGCAGCTCTCTTCCATTTAATTGCGACCGTCTCTATCTTGCATCTGGAGAAAAGCTTAGCCCCACCCATTGCACCCCCTCATGGGGTCCCAGACCTTGGCCTTTCGAAACAGTTTCTGTGTTAGCCGCACTGAGACTGACGTGTTTTCATTGGGGAGCTGGTTGCCGCGGGGGATGCAAAAGAAGAAGAGGTACAATAAAACACACACGAACACACACATCGCGGCGCTATGTAGAAGCAGGGGGCTGTTTGTGCTCGGCTCGAATTTCGTTCCGTTAGCATACGGTTCAAAACCTGCAGCGCGGACAGACACCATAAGTAGTTCTCCTCTAAATAGATGTGGGCAATGTGTGTATGTTGGTGTGCGCCAGGGGCCAGGGGAGGTAGACCGTTTGTTGGTGCAATACAACACTTCCTTGTACCGTGTGTACATGCAGTTTCTCCTGGTCGGAGAGGTGTCCAGGAATTTGTAACATGCCGTTCACTCTGTAGACTACTTGTATTGTATGCGTTTTAAATGCATGCATGAACATGCACTTTACCTCATATTTAGTCAAATAGCTGCGTCAATTTGGCTGCGAGGCAATTATTCTCTGTAGATGTTTCCACTCCATGATGAACTAAATACAAAACCGAAAGAGTTGGAAAGCGTTGCCGATACGATCACAATCAACCCGGCTTGCTTTGGGCGTGTGAATTCGGGCAATCAGCCCACCACACGTGCCTGTACGCATGCATCTAGTCTACACGGGGCATATCTTCCGGCTGCGACGAGGATGATGAAACGGAGGACGGCGGTGGCGGTGAGAGCACGGGGCGCGAGCGCCGTGCTCCACCGGCTTATGGTGAGCTGTCGTCTCACTTCGGCGTCCTGGAATCGGCAGCAGATGAGAGCGGCAACGGAGACGGGGCGTTCCATCTGCAAAAAGCAAAGATGGCGATGATCGCAGCGCATGCCGCTAAGGGGGTGCGCCAGGCAGACATGAGAGAGTTTGTCGAGACGTAGTGAGGGCGGGGGGTACGTGGTTGTTTTATTTTTCTTTGCAGTGAGCTTCCTTCCTGTGTGCCTTTCTTTCTCGTTTCTATTTTTGTTTTCCTGCAACATCGCAGCGGGTGCGCCGGGCAGGCATAAGGGAGTTTGTCACGACGTGGTAAGGGCGCTGGGTGCATGGTTGTTTGATTTTTCTATGCAGTGAGCTTCCTGTGTGCTTTTTTTTCTCTTTTTTTTTCTTGCAACATGGCAGCGGGTGCGCACTGCGCCGGGCAGGGCTAAGGAGAAATTGTGCCTGTCTTGGTTTTTGTGTGTGTGATGGTTCTTGCGAAATCGAAGCGGGTGCGCCAGGCAGACATGAGAGTTTTATCACCGCGTAATGATGGCAGGGGGCAGCAGTACATGGTTGCTCATTTTTTGGCAGTCAGTGCGCTTTCTGTCGTGTTTCTTCCCTGATTTGTCTTTTTCTGTCTTGCAACATCGAGGGAAGGCAGGCAACGAGGACTGAGACATAGCTTCGTCCACGCACCCACCCACCCACAAGCTCTCTCTACCTCTTCCTCTTACCCCCTCGGACCCAGACACAATCTCGATCCATTTCGTACTCCGTTGGCCCCGCAAAGTGTGAACGCCACACCCACACCGTGAAGTCAAAGAGTGCCTCAATTGTGCAGGTTATGCACTATTGAGGGATATTCAAACCCCCAATAGTGCCGAACCTGCACTATCGAGGGCACCCTTATCAGTAGTGCAGGTGCCCGCTATAGTGCAGGTAAAGCCTCTCGACAGACCCCTGCACTATATAGGGCCCCCTACTGTAACGCGGACTTAATTGTTCTCATATGTACCTGTAAGATTTGGTCACTTTTCATGCCTCGGCACTTCTTTCTCTCGCCCCAGCGAGTCTTTTCTCGCGGTTTTTTCTCAGGGGCACGCAGGAGGCCCGTCGGTACATTTACGCCCGTGTCCGGAGCTCGGACGACCTCCGTGGCGCGTGGAGTTAACCGTCAAAGTTGCGAAAATTGGCTCAAAACCCAGGGGACGCGTTCCGCGACGACAATGCCTCCCGAACCAATTCCTTGAACTTCTCTGTTGCATACCATCATAACAGCCTTTACACTGTGTACTGTACGCCCATGCGTACAGCTTCGGGGCCGCGACTCTGCTTTGAACTCTCACCTCCGGTTTGCAAATGTATTGTGTGGAAGATACATGTTCACAGACCTACAGCAGTAATTCATATTTCATGGTTGATTGGAACACGCCATACCAATCAAATAATTTTTTGGATCTTTTCTTCATAATAAGTCAAATCTCCGATTTTCTCCTGAAGGATGCGGGCCATCACTGGCGAGCCATCACTGCATCAGCTGCGCGCTCCCTGCACGGATGGATACGCCACAGCAACAACACTTATTCGTACATTACGGTGCGGTGTATGCATCTGCATCAGTACTCCTTCTGGGGCTGGTCATGTGCAGAACAATGTGTTGTCTATATTCATGTACAGGCGAAAGTCCGATTCAACACGAAAAAAGAAAAATCAGTTCCAAAAGCAAAAATCCGCCGTGGCATGCAAATATTAAGCTGCCCGCACTCGCTCTCACGATGGCCCTCCTCCCATCTACTCCCCTCTCATCACAAATCACAGCTCACACCGCCAGAGCAGCTTCCACCGTACATCCATGCCTCGCCAAAGCCGCCAAGCCTCCAGCGCCGCTACCAACGCATCGTCCTCCACCGCCGGATCCTCTCCGCCGGCTGCTTCTCCGGCTGCTTCTACGCCGCCGCCCGCGAGCGGAGCCGGCTCATCTGCTGCTGCCGCCGCCGCCGCCGCCGCCGGCTCGCCCGAACAAGTCCCGGCCGACCGCGAGCTGCAACACCTCTGCCCAGGCACCGGTTGCAACACCAACCTCTTCTTAAAGGAAAATATCCACAAAGACAGGGCCGACTACTGTACCACGCCTGCAGGAACTTTAGCGCCGGTACCTGCGCGCCTTTTGATCAAGTACCCCGGAAAGGTCTGCTGGCTCTGCGCCTCCGAGTTCGAGGTCGGCGAAGTGGTGTGGGCATACACCACCCCAGGTGAGAGCTTTCGCATATCTACAGCAGTAGTACAACGAATGATCTTCCTTCACGGCTTGGACTTCGCGCGTTGATGCCCGTGGTCGTTTGTATGAACGCGATTCATATTTTTGGCCGACGCTACCATGTGCATACAAAGTTGTTTACACCACACAGCATTCGGCGCTCTTCTCATCATATTTCGGCGCTCTTCGTGATGAGGTATGAATCATGCCCACGTTGTATGAACTGACTCGATTCATTCCTGATCTATTCCTGTCACAAGAAGATCACACAACAACCAAGCAACCTTGCAAAATTTTTTGTGCTGTGTAAGGCTTTCGCACCAACTTTGCCCCTCCTTGCGCTGTTGAATGACTCAGAGAACAGATCTACTTCAACGATACGCTGCTCATCCATGTATGTATGTATGTGTTCATCGCCTTCCCTTTTTGTGATCAAACAGACGTGGAACGCCCGGCGTGTTACATAAACTGGTGCCTCAACGAGGACGCCTGCATCATCCTCAAGGAGGAGGGCGCCCCGGTCAACGTTAGGCTTGCCGGCGAGGACGACGTGAGTCCTTTTATTTTCTGTTTCACAAAACTATCTACCTATTCATATGTTTCCATTCCCTACCCCCTTCTGTCTGCCTGACCAACACAACACGACACCAATCATTATTGATGTTCCTGCCCGTTAGTATGCGCACTGCCATGTTAGGCATGTGTTCCACTGTCCTTTCCTGCCCAACACAACACCAGATATCCTGCCCGAACATATCCGCACGCACATGCTCGGTACAACGTGTGTTGCCGCAAGACATTTTTTTATTTCATCCTACATGTCCTTGCATGTCCACACCTTTTTTTTGGTGTTCGACACCATTATTTTCAGCCTGAATATGCGCACATACATACGTGTTCGTTATGTATGTGTTCCTGTCATTCCTGCTGCGCAAACACTGAAGCTGACGCAGGACCCACTTCTTTTTACATTCGTAGTGTATGTGCACGCTTTTTTGTCCGTGTTCCACGCCAATTTTTTCAGTGTTCCTTCCCGTGAATGAATATGCATACGCACATGTTCTTCGGTATGGTTCGTGATCTTTCTGCTGCCAACGCCATTATGCTCACGCAGGACAGCTGTTTTTTCCACACCATCATTTGCAGATTTCCTCTGTGTTCTGTTCTTAACACTATATTTGCTGCGCGACGACATAATGCTGACGCAGGACGCATCTTTTTTCCCTTCCACATTTTTCTCGTCCAATTCCTACAGGTTGCAAAGCGCTGCAGTGACTGCAAACGTGCCGACTCGACCATACTGGACACGGACCAGTTAATCGCCAAGTCCACCCAGCCCTGCCACGTCGACCAACCCCTTCCATCTCCTCCGTCCAATGACACATGCGATGTTTTGTACGGGGGCGAGCACTACCGAACTTTGAAATTTAATCCATGACTTCACTACTCCCTTTCCAACTTGCGTCACCCCGGGGGGCCTGACACCAACGTCCCGAAGGGGGACCTTGTATATATATGTATGGTTGACTTTGAGGCACTTCTATACCCCACGAGAGTCAAAATAGATGAAAACCTGCGCGCCCGACCCCGGCACATTTTGTGCTCCTCCTACTATCATCGTACGCGATCCCACGCATACATATATATGTACCCTCCGTGGGGAAAAAGGAAAAAAGGTCTCCAAATGAGGCCGGGGTTGCCCTGGGCTACTTTTTTTTTTTTTCTTAAAATGACACAACGAATGAATCCATCTCTTTCATAGAAAATAGTCTGAGACAGATTAGCAATGAATTCATAGCGTCAGAAAGTACCTGTATGTCTACGATTTCCCAGACAGCATATAGGGACATCTCCCCTGCGGGTAACAGGCTCAACAAAACAGTTTGGTAGCTGTCTTGTGTGTCTCATATATGTTATGTTGGGAAGGTGCAGAAGATATGTGTTAGGTACTGTTGGGTAGTCGGGCGTTTTGTGTGTGGCACCTTTTGAGTCGTGAGGCATGCAATCTCCCTCAGTTTGGAAACGTATTTTCAGTATGGTACGCGTATGTTCGGGGTACGCATCGCATATGTGCCGACACATTTCGGAGTATGTGCGGACACACGGGGGGAGTGGTCTCACCATTTTCTTACCGTATTGTGCAATTTCGTGTCGTTAGATATGCAAAAGGCACGGGAGAACATTCTCTCATCATTGCCTCCTGACGTGGTCGCCGATAGAGGCGTGTGGTTAAGGTTTCATCACCGACATGTGGGTGTGTGTAAAATGCAGTGGGTATGGTTACCTGTCTCGCCCGTGTGTAGGCAGAAGGTATGGCTACCTCATCCATTAGTAGGAAGCGTGGACCAGCATAAGTAAAGACAGGGTTTATCATTTCATGTTTTTTCGTAGAACTGAGAAACAGATTTCGACTGTGCTCCCGCGGTTCACGGTAGTTCTATGGGCAACACCACCCACGATGTCCCCAACAACTATCCTTCCTGTTTGTCGCTTACTTGGCGTGCAATTCAGCCGCGAGGCATGCTGGCATTCACCCACGGTACAACAGCAGTACTATTGCCGACTGACGCTACACGAGACGCCCGATCGGAAAAACAAAACTCGCCCCGCGAAAGAACCATGTATGTGGTGAAGAAAACAACAGCAACAAAACAACAACAACTTCGGCACAACAGCAACAACAATCAATAAATTCGCCGAACGAGGGCTCTTGACCCCGATCGAGTTTCCGAACAAGAAAACATGAAGCTACAAATTCGACCTGCTGATTCACCAATCTAAATAACCCAACCAACCGCAGTTCGAAGAGTTAACTCACCGAACTGTTTATTTTCTTGTACTGCTGGTGATGATCTTCTAAATACACCGGAGCAGTAAAATATAATATAACGCATCTCTCAACAATGTCCGGATTGCATGATTCACAGAGAGTTCGTGCTTAGGGTTTTTTGTGCGTCTCTTCTGAATCTTCCGCTTGGCGTCGTATGCGTATGAACGCGGGAGACGAGGGCGTCCTACATCGACTGGATGGACCGACTGGTACTATGTACAATACAGTAGTAGGGTCAGGGCGGGACCGTTTGTATACCGTGAACAGACACGCGATAGGGCGTGAGGTTTGTTGGTCATCAGCAAGAAGAGAGGAAGCGACGAGCGCGCGACAAACAAAGGGAAGCTGACTCTCTTCTTTGTAGGCACATATAATATACCCCTATGAGTTAATGAACGCGATAACATGCTGCGTAAGTACCGTCTGATCCTCCTCCGTTAGATGCCAGGGCGAGCGGGGTAGATTCCCGGTGTGTTCTCCTCGGTAGTTCCCCGTGACGGAATTAATTGCAGTGTGGAGCTAACCCGACCCCTGGGTGCAGGTTGGAGCCGCTTCGCTTCAGTCCGACCCCTTCCGTAGCCTTCCTTTCTCTCACAGTCGCTGGCTATCGCTCACTCGCAGGCAACACTGAGAAAGGGGGAACGCGTGCACATCGCTTGAAGCTGCCATGTTAACCATTGTACCGCTACCTGCTTGTTGGGATACCGGGAATCTGGGCAGCCGGTGGTCACGATATTTCTAAAAGATATTTTCCCACCCATCGTAGCCGGTCGCCCCGGTGGTCTAGTTGGTATCCTCGAAACCTTCTAGAGGTCAGGTCAGGGGTTCGTATCCCGGCGTAAGCGAGCTTTTCTTGCAAAGTGAGTTTTTCTCTCGCTTCCGCTCCTGGCCTAGTCGATAGCGCTAGTTCGTGTGTACACAGAGGGAAGAGAGTGCTGAACTCTTCTCGCATTAAAAAAACGAAGGCAAAGTACCGCAGGAGGGGAGGGTAGAGAGGGGCTCTTCTGTGTGACCACGGGTTGGAGTAAACAGCACTACGTAGCTGTGAGCGCCGATTTGAAGTGTAGACAAAAAAATAAAAATAAAATGTAGTCCATCATGGGTCCTAATACCATTGCATACACTACTAGCCCACCCTGACGGGACATATGCGCACATGGTATGGCGGCTTCACGCAGAATCTGCACAAAATGCTTCGATGGGCCGTGGCTGTCCGGGTACTACATGTTCGTACGGTGGCGGTGCTAGGGGTATAGGGCCATGACAGGGATGGAAGTGTCGGATACTTGCTTGTTTGCCCTCTGCAGGTGTCGAAGAGGCGGCGGCCATGCCGCATCTACGAAGAAGGGACAACTTCAACATGTCTCTTCATGGCACGTTTCACGTTTTCACGAACGTTGTCTGTTGGAATACTCAATGTCAGCCATAAGAGTTACTGCTGTAAACAACAGTAAGTAGGTATTCACCTAAGGAGTATTAAATTACCGGAATAGTCTTCGGTATGTTGATTCAGTAATCGGATCATTGTACACACCTACTACGGGTTACACATTAAACCATAGAAGTATGGTACATCGGACCATTGTCCTATAGGGTATCTAGCAACGTGGTCATAGGTCGGGTTGACCGTCTATTACCGTGATCGGTACGTTGCAATAGCCCGTGTGTATTTCCTTTCCGTGATGACCGTGGATAGCTCGCTCCCGTGGTGCTCGCCCCCACTCGCTCACTCTTCTTCTTTTCTCTCTTTCTTCTTCTCCTTTCTCTCTTCTGACCTTTCGGCCAACTAAGCGCCAATCAATACAACCATATCATCTGGTACTTTATAGTCACTCTGTGAGCCTCTGCCTCTGCACGCTGTTACCACACAGTGGCCATTGCCAGGGATACACCTATCACAAAGGTTACATCCCAACATTGTCAACAACCCGCCCGGTGTTTACTCATCACGCCCCCATGTGGAAAAATATTGCGATGCCCGTTAAAGGTGAACGATCACATTGAATTTATCATATATATCGTTTGTGGCTGTTCTGTGAGAACCCTTCGACGCCGTTTCGCGTGTCAATCCGAAAAAATGATGAACACACACACACACACACACACACACACACACACAGCGCGGTCGATGCTAGTACAAAAAACACACACACAGGGACGCATGTAGGAGCTAGGTTGGTGTTTATGCGACCGACCTAGGTTGGTAGGCTGGGATAGATAGAGGTGCTAGGTTGGTTTTGACGTGGATAGGTGCTAGGTTGTGAGGCCTTAGGTCGCTCTTGGATGGGTGGTTCCGTCGGTAAACAAAGGTGTGGGTACATGGCTTTTTTTTGTGCGTCCTCATGGATGGGTGCATCGAATATTTTTCCGTGTCAATCGCTTCTCTAGAAGAGAATGTTTGACCAAGTACGTCGACCTGTGGGTCTCCAGCAAGTTGGAACACTACGTAGACTTGTCAATCGTCAATCACCGGACAAGAAGAGAGGGGAATCACCTGGATTGAGGGGCAGACAAAGGTATGATTCCGCGCCGATACCCAGCCCCCAGGAACCGGCCTACGCACGTACTGTACTCAGCTACGTACAAAGGTGAGAGAATTTTGAGTTTCTTTTTAGCTGTTTTACCATGGTGCCCGTTAAAGTGAACGTTATCACCCGTTCTATCTATCGCATGCATCCATATCTATCTGTTGATATGTGCAAACGGGTTGAAGTTGATGCCGTTCGTGTGACGTATACGGACGACATCATCAGCACAGCGGTCGTCAGCAAGCTGCTATAACACTATTTGCCAGACCGTACGAGAAATAAATGCAGATCATCAAGGAGAGACAACGGATGCAAGTACGCGCAGCCCACCCTGCTCACACTGATTCCCAGCCGGTTTACGCACGAAGTGTACTCAGGCACGCCAAGGTGAGCGAAGTACGAGCGTCGTATGAGCTATTTTAACGTTTTAACATGGTGAGGCCGGGGAGATGTAAACGTAACACACGACCTGGCGTTGGTAAAAATCAGCTATCATCAGCTCGGTGATGTATTCTTGTTTTCTCTCTACAATCAACCAAGGGCGCACAAAAAAAAACATCACCTCACCCCCAAAACTTTATTTTGGACCTCTCCTTGGGGAGGGGGGCGTACTCTTATGGTTTGCATGCATTTAGCGGTTAGACCATTGACCTCGCATCCCTACACAGCCGGGACGGAGCACGTCGGGTTCTCACCGGACCAGGCTCTCACATCACCAAGCGTGAAGCGCCATGAGGTATTCGGTGAGTCGCATGAAGGGTGCGCTGCATCCTGCTAAGGGTGTTCGGCATCTTGTGCTTACTTCCTTGCGTACGGGTGGCAGCTGCGTATGACTCGATTTATTTTCTGGTGCTATCACTTCCAGAGACAGCCACAAGCACTGTGTAACTGCCTCGAGGGTGGTTGACCACTTCAACACAACGTGGTGCGATCATCCCCTTTGCGCGGGGTGAGGTTTCTCGACCCCGCACAACATAATCTACTCGACCACCATTATGGTTACGGTGGGGGGTCCGGTTTAGCGACCCCTAGTGTCATGAAGAAATATGTTCTCTATTCAGGGCATGTCGCTAAACCGGG